TGAGCTTTCTTAATTTCCAATCTGTTTTCTCAGGCCAGTGAATTAACAGCATACAGGAAATAGCTGAATACCGTTCTTAATTAGTCAACTGGATTTATCCAGTTTTTCCTTGTTTTTCAGATACCCACTTGAGTGTTGTACCTCTTATCTAGTAATATTCTCAGCCAGGTACCCAGCATTAATAACGAAAACGTACAAAACAGTTACTAGAACCTGCACTAAGTCAGTAGATGCCATCAAGATAAAGGGACATTTTTGTTAAAGTTTGACTTCTTTACTACACAAAAGCGGGTGGGTAATGAAAGGGCTTTCAATTTACCTCCTGAGCTCTAACAACCAAATTACAGACATCCCCATGACTGTGCAATGGGAAAAGCAAACTACAGACCTTACGCAAAGCTGGATCCAGAGCTTGGATGCGACACCCTTGAAACAGGCTTTAGGTAACAAAATAAAGGTCTTTTGGTGGGAGGGGGGAAGAGGATTGATCCTCCTCTCCAAAACGTTTGGTCAAACCTACAGATTCTTGTTTCAGACTAGCTGAGCAGAAGCTGAAGAACTCAAAAGCAAAGGACTATGAAGGGACCTTCAGACTTTTCATAGGAATTTAATCCAAGCAGCTTGCTGCGGTGCAAGGCAGACCTAGACCAGGCACACGCCCCACTACAGCTGAGAAGCCCATGTGGGTCACCACCTTCAGAAAACTTCGAGGAACTATATGGCCAAACAACACTTTTGCCAAAACTTCTGTCTACTTGCCAGTATAGGCACTATAGCAGAGCCCCACAGTATTTTCTTCCAGTGCGAGATCAGAATCAACAGAATTCAACAACCTAAACGAGTTCTGCTGCTTCTCAAATGGCCTCGGGCCAAAATGTCACAGTGCCTCAGTTCTTCAGCTGGGCAAACACGGGGCTTCCAAGCATGAGCTGAAGTTAATGGACCATCAGCATGGATGGGAATTATGTAGGGCTCCAATCCAAAACCTCATCTGAAATCAAAAGCACTTTCAGTCACCCATCGCTTTGGGTATCGAGAGGAGAACGCACCCATCAGAATGACTGAATTGTCAAGTTGACCCTTCTTAGGGACTACTCACTGACATAAAAGGGTGACAAGCGCTGTAGCATGCTTGCCTTCGCTCCTCTTCCAGGCTTAAGAAACTACAAACCTCCAGAAATGCGCTTTTCTGCTGGATACTATCACAGTAAAAACCATCCTCTGCCAAATTTCAGCAATCTGAATTAAAACCTATCAGTATACTACAAATACTTCCTACAGCTAGGGAAGCCTTAAGAGAATGCGGTAAGGCAGACCCAGAGCCAAGAAAAGGGTTAAATCCCCAAACTCTGGAAAATTTTAAGACTGCACTGTGTCATTCAACCTTCCCGAGAAAAGGGAAAGGCCAATTCAGAACCTGTGTATGTTTTCTACTGAATTATTTGCTCGACTCTGATTAAGTGGGAAAGAATGACTGTAAACTAATAAAACTTGAGGTTTTCTAATTAAACCACAGGCACCCTGCCAAGCATTGCTGATTTGTTGATGCACCCTGCAATGTCAGGACTCTGAGGACACAACAGGTCATTAAAGTATTAAACAGATGACTTATACTCTTTAATCAGAGCTGGGATGCCAGGTTAGGAAGAGAGAGTAAACTCAAGGGCAGAGTACAATAATTATCACTAGGAAACAAACACACCGTTTAGCAAAGCGGAGAGAAGTTGTTAGCGAGTAGTTATTGCACAAGGGAAGGGCTGGATTACTGAGCCCCACACCTGGGTCTTTTATGATAGTCATCTCCCCCACTCTGCAGTAAGAAAAGAATGCGATATTTGTGATTTTCCGTCCTTCGCCATCAGACGACGCGCTGCAAGGCCAGGAAACGCGCGAGCCTCTGCCCAGCTCTGCCAGCGCGTCTCAGCCCCGTCCGCAGCAGCACCTCGCGCCTTCGTCGTCTCTTCACACGTACTGCCAGCTCTGCTGAGCGCCCTCAAACTGCAACTCGGAGGTGAGCAGGCTCGTTTTTCCGGTGTGCAACAGCCAAAACACTGGAAGCCACGTTTGTGACCAAGGGACAGAAGCATGCTTGGAGAGAAATGCAGAGCCTGACATCCAGTTTTCAGCTCCTTAAGGTCAGCACTTGCCTCTGGCTTGAGCCTCCTCTCCGATGAAGAAGCCACCAGCGATCTCAGTCAGTTGACTGTAAACTTCCTCTCCAAATGAACAGCTCAGTAAAGGGCATTTATTTGGAGGTTTCACAGAAAAACTAGAAGCAGCTCCAGAAGAAAGGAGGTCCTGCAAAGAGCCCCAAATATATTGCTCTATAGAAGCCTCACAAGGCAGCTATTTGGCAGTTTCCCCAGACATATAGATATTTATAGGAGAATAAAAGTGCTCATCCGACTGAGTAGTGGAAAGAGTCATGTATGGCATTTTCATCACGGTTTCACCCCCCGCCGCCCCTCCCCAGAATCTGGGGATCCAAAAAAAGGCAAGAGAAATAATTTAAAATACAATAGAGATCCCTAGTTTGCCCTGAAGGCTCTGCTGATGAACTATTAAAGAGCTTCTTCTGTCCAAACAAGACACTTGGAGTGTGAAGCAGATAGCCTACCACATTGTTTTACAAGACAGCACTGAAATTCAACCAGTGTCTGTTACAGCTGAAAATACAGCAGTCACAGAAAAAGTGATTTAATATGCCTTTCAAAGAGGAAGGCTGTAATTGGATTCAGTCCTCAGTTTGACTTCTGAAAGTCTCTGAAGAAAACTCCCATCAGCTTTAAAAATCTCCAAGATTTTATGTGGAACGAAGAGCACTTAGTTCTAAAAACACAGTTTGTGCCGGCTTGTGATGTTAAGTACGCCAGCAGCGAGTCCTCTTGATTTTAGCAAAACTCGGGAGAAACCATATCTATGTGCAAACTAAAACCAGCAGTGACAAGCAATATTTCTCGCATATTATTTTACTATATGCAAAAGCAATTTCAACTTTTTTTGGGGAAAAAAAAAAGGATAGGACTTTTCTTGGTAAGTTTAAGTGACTTATCACTAGCCTGCCTGTCTCTCCATCCTCACAGCCTGTCAAAGAAAGAAGCACTGAATCTGGGAACATTCTCCAAATAACTGATTAAACAATGTATTTAATGTCTTCTGCAATGGAATTTTACTACATAGCTAACATTCTGCACAGCACATTCATCTTTGCAGAAATTATTTTACTGGGAAAACAGCTCTGCAGCAGATACCCTACTTCTTTTGCAGCAGTTGTAAAATGTAGAAGCAGAGGAGTCTGCTTAAAATACAGAACCCTCAATATTAAGCTACAAGCTGCATACACGGCAAGAGTACAGAAGGCAACTTAAATATTTGAACATTTGTGTTTATGGGGTTTTTTGTTTTAATGGCAAACACGCCATCTATCAGTTATTGGGGTTACTGCATTAGCCCTCAGCCAACTACCGTCTCGCTGAGTTAAGAACTGTTCATCTCAGTCCAACTGAGATCTGTACAAAAAAAAAAAAAGCCACATCTGAACTGGTGTGCCAACATCTGACCGCTAGCAGGGCGGCGAGTACGCACAAACATACAGACACACAAATCCAGAGTCCTGTTGTGGAAGGAAGCCAGGGGAAGGGAGAGGACGGGGCTCAAGTTCTGCAATCACTTATCCCAAAAAAGGACGAGGGATGCAATGCCTAGAAGATACAGCTGCAGTTTAATTAGCCACAACCACTGCTTATCAAGTAGCATCTCAGGCAAAGCCCATGGCATCACTACCGCAGACTCTAGACAGCCTACGTACGGCGTCTCAGGCTCACTTCACATCAGGTTTTACCCTGCCCGAGTCACCTCGGGGTGCTGTGAGGGCTCTTCTCCCCTGCTGCAGGGCTGCCTTCCCCCCTGCCATTCCAAAAGAGAAATCTGATTGCCACCATGGCTTCCCTCTTAAAATACCTAAACCTTCAAACCTCCCTAGGCATTTGGGACAAACTACCCTAGATCTGCTCTTCCTCAGGCTGTTCTGGAAATCTCCCCTCCCTGGTTTTGGGGATAAAAGCTAGAGGCAATTCTGAATGGAGGAGATGCATGAAGGAGATATCGCCTATCTAAAGAGAATTTCCCCTTCCCCCGTCATCCTCCACAAATGCTAGTTATTCTTCTTCTCAAACTGTCTAATTGATTAGCATAATTAGGTTACACCTAGAGCTATTGTTCCCAAATAGTATTTAGCTTGCTATTTAGTATCAGACTTTACAGGCTTGTAAGCCCTCTCAGTTTGTCCACTCCCCCTTCCTACGAGCTTCTCCTTGGCGTAAAACTCCTCCCGACAAAACTTGCTTTTCATAATGTTGAGAGAGAAGACAACACCGGCACTGTAAAAGTATTGTCATAGTGTTGAAGAGCTCTGCCATGGCACAGTAATGCTCAGGAGAGTGTAATAGGCAAAGCTGAGGAAGGAACACACCATTTTCCTCGTTTAAAAAAAAAAAAAAAAGCAATAATTAGGTCAGCAAGTAGCAGTAGTTGCAGGGGAAGAAAAAAAAAAACAACCCACCACCGAAAAGGAGTTCTTCCTTGTTTAAATGTTTATTATTCAAAACATGCAGTGGGGTCTTAAAAACTGAGTAAAAAAGTAGTTAGAAAACTGTTACAGCAAGGCTCGGAAGCCCAGTTCACACTGGAGTTCACTGTAGGGTAAAGCCAGCTCCTGTGATTCACCCCACGCCTGCAAGGGGAGAATCGTTCACAACGTAGCCCTTAACAAATCATTTGGAATTCAGCCTATGCTACCAGCTTCCAAAAAACAACAACACAAAAAAAAAAAAAAAAAAAACAACAGGAAAAACCCAATTCTTCCGCAATAGCCTGTTTATAAAACATGTCCTTAAAAGCACATGAAATTCAGACCCAGCCACTTTCCCACTCACTCACTCAGCCATCTGTTATGCATCCAATACAGTACGTGAAAATATGACCAATATCCCAGGACTCACCAGAAACTGTGTGCAAATCAGACGCTATCCCCTTGCTCATCAATTCGTACTGGAAGCCTGTAATCTTCCTGCTAATGTCCTGCTGAGGGGTGGCCTCAATAAACAGGCCCCCCTGATCATAGCCAAAGCAATATACTTTACTGGGGCTGCGATCTCCATCCCGGACCAAGAGTTTCAGTTCTCCAGTTTTTTCCAAATAAATATTTGCTCCTGCAGAGTCCTTGAAGGGCTTTATGCAAACAGTCAAATGTTTGTAAGAGGCAGGTGAAGTATTGGGCCGCAGGTTGACTATGAGTGCTCCCGTGGGATACATCCACTCTATTGACCCTTCAGAACAGCGGAGGTAGACCTGTTCCACATCCTTCTTGTGAGACTCGTGAGTTAAGCCACTGGGGGAAGAAAGAAAGAGAAAGTTAGAGAAATGACAGAGCTAGTAATGAGACTGTCATAACCTCAAACCTTCAAAGACCCACATCAACAAACGCAGGAAATCTCTGACAGTATTGAGTATCAGCCCATCCAGCTCAGCGGCGGTCAGAAGTGCTTGTCTCTTGCAAGACTGCAACCTTAATATTATGGGACAATTTCAAATCATCTCCCAAAAGCAAAAGTCAAACCACTAGTAATTGACTTCAAAATTAAATAGGATATAAGCACATGATCAAAAGCAATTAAATTACTACAGCCTCAGTTACTGCCCATCAGCTGAGCTGTGGCAAATGACTTGGCACATACTAAGTCAAAGACGTACGCTTGAACTCCCTTCCTGGTGGCTTAAACCAGCACGTTCCCCAGCCTCGCAGATCGGACTCCACCTTTTGCCGAGTACTTTGTTCCCCTTCCAAGTCTGTATTCCCAATGGATCTGAAACTGGGAGGGATGCCAAGCTCACCCTGTGAACTGGAGCAAAGGGATGCTCTGGGTGCTACTGATACCCTCTGCCCCAGCTGGGCAGCCCCAAGCTCCAAACTGGGAGGAGGCAGGGAGAGGAGAGAAGACACTAAACCGCCCAGTCATAGCTGGGGAAGCACTGAACTGATGCTGCTTTCTTCGGTACGTGTTCCATGTTCCCCCACTTCTCCCCAGTCTGAGGTTTAAGCTTAGCTTATCACTTTAGTGCCCAGCTCCAATGGGCTACGAGCAGACACACAGCTACGGGAGTTCAGCAAAAACCAGAACACGTGGCCAGTGACTATTGCTGGGGCACAGGGCCACCGTCGGTCCTGTGTCCTTACCCAGCACCATGGCAAAAAATTAACACCCAAGAGCCATTTTGAGGGCTGGCGATCACGGAGACAGGGCAGGAGAGCAACATGGGGATCCCAGGGCCAACTGCTAGTGAAAGGAGAGCAAACTGCCCTGCGTAAGCAGGATGACTAGTAAATCCCTGTGACTTGCTTGCCCACAGCCTAAACTGAGGACTGTTCTAAACAACCCTTGCTGCGTGTCACTGATGCTGGACCAACCCCACAGGTTCTTTACCCAGAGTGATTCAAAGCACTAATGTGACAGTGCATGCTGTAGGCACTCCAGTTAAAAGAAAAAGTTGTGGGAAGCCTGGTTTATTGGTTACAGTATTTGGGCCATTAGGCAAAAATCCTTTGGTCCCAGTCCCTGTCCTGTCACAAACCCATTATAGGCGTATGAGCAAATCACTTCACCACCAAGCTTGTTTCTCCTCCTACGCTTCACGAACCTAGTTCCCAAACATAAGCGTCTTTTATTCTGTGCCAGTAAAGCACCACCCAAAACGAGACCCTTCAACGCAGCCCATGGCTCTGCTTTGCAGTACGTTAGAGAAGCTTCACAACGTTCCCGCTTGCAGGCGGATGAACCAAGACAGGGGAAAAAAAAAAATTTTAAAGGATTAAATGACCTGTCTGAGGTTACACAGGAAATCTGTGGCAAAGAACATATTTTAGTGTAGTGCAAGTAATGACATCAAGCTCTGGTTTCTCAACAGAAACCTCCAAATACACAGTTCCTCAACCCAAAGACATATTCAGGTGCTGAACAGGGTTTAAATTCAAATCAGCATTTAGAAAGTAACAAGAAGCCATGTGTAAAAGAAGGGAAAAAAACCATATGGTTTGCATTTACTGTTGACGTGACTCATTATTGTGAGTGTCAGTGTGACCCACTTACAGAGGTTACATGAGGAAGCTCAGGAAAAAAAGTCATATTTAATAACAATAGTGCCTGCAAACATGTGCTTTTGAATAATCTTGAAAGCCACATCAAGAACGCAGATGAGAAGAAAAGAGGGACAAGTTTTTGACCTTTAGTCTCTTTCCCTCAAATTCAGTAGTACTTAACACATTCAGGAAACTTAACTTGCAATGGGATATTTCAAGTTGACTGTAAATCCACATCTGGTTCACAAAATCAGTTTTCACCACAGCACGCACATGATGCCACTCAACAGAAAACACAGAAGTCTGTTTATGTGCAAGCAGTGAATAAGTAAAATTAAAGAGCGTAAAGCTTATCCCTCAGCAAAGGGGCAAAAAACTACCTTCGCACATCACTTGTCCCTATTCAAGGCATCAAAACAAGCTGCAGAGGTTTTGCAGGACTTACACTGGCAAATTCCACCCTGAAGCCTGAGTGCTTAAACAGAAGGCAGATACCAGGGGCAAAACTCTGAACTCATGCAGTGAAACTGCTGTTGCAAGTGATCCCAGCAACACTGAGGCAGTGAATTTCTGCCAGGGAAAAAAGCCTTAACATTCATTTTGTTCAAACGTTCATGCTGTTCAAACAAAAAACAGGGTGGACTCTGAAATTATCTTCTGAAAGCCAATTATATCCCACAGGCAAGAGTGATGCCATTAGACAGATACATCAAGCACAAGTACCTGTACGCATTAAGCCTTATAATAAAGGATGACTCAAAAGTTAATACATGCTCACATTACTTAACAGCAACCACCATCATCCAGTAAAACCTGTCGCTTTGCTTTCTGTCAAAATGACATGTCACCACCACATTGAGAGATTGTTTAATGTCATGTTTCGTTCTCACTAGCCGGTCATCAGACACACCATGTCCACAAAACAATGGAGGTCCAGGAGCCTTTTTTTTTTCCCCCAAGCTCATTTGACTTTTGTTTTTGGGTTTTTTTCCAAGTATATGGCAAGGAGATAGGGCAGCTGTTTCATGATGAGCCATCCATCCTCCCTTTCAAATCTGTGCTGTTTATCGGGACTTACTTCTACAACAAGTACTACTTCCTCATACCAATCCATGAGGACATCCTGAATCACTGCATTTGTCTCCTCGCTCTTCTCCCTTTCTGGTTTCAGCCATCCCCCTCTGTCTGCCCTGAAAGATCTGTTACGGTGTCGGTGCAGAAGCTGTTACGCTGTAACATGCAACTGGTGTTATTTAAAGAAAAAGAAAGCAGGAGGAATATTCACACTATCTACTTTAGCTATTTATTTTATTACAGATGCTCTGAAGAGCCCTAGAAGTACCCATGTCCTCCCAGCACCCCTCAGCGAACACAGGGAACTTTCGCTCCTAATTTGGGGTATCTAATTAAGGATGACAAGCTAGAGAGCATTGACAGCATCCGCCCCAGAGCATCCACCAGTGCAGAGGGTAAGATCGATGGATGTAAGCAGCCACATCAGAGCTGAATTCTCATTCCTACAGCCTACAGTCAAAACCGCCAGACTAGCATATTCTCAGCGTGTCACTGAAGCACTTTCGCCCAAAGCATCGAGAGGTCATTGCAGTACGAAAACCTGAAGTTACAGCAAGAGTAATAACCAGACACACACCATAGTGAAGTTTCTGCTTTCTTCTGGACAGCTTTCCCGGAAGCTCTCTGCCAAGCTATTTAAGATGCTGCTATGGACTATTGAGTGTACTTAAATTGCAGGTGTCAAGCTGTGCGCTGCATCAGATTTCCCTGGAAGCATGAGGGATACCTATAGGAATCCTAGTGAAGCTCTTCATACTACTCAGGGATATAAGCTCGTCACTTTCTCCACAAGCTAATGGGAAAAAAAAATTCATATCCAGAATATTCTACTTCTAAGATTGTTGCTTTTAATATAGACATGTATATAAAGGTGAGAAAAGACCTTCAGGTTTACTGTAGGAGATGACTAGACTCTCAAATCTGCCAGCACAAGACAACTTAGAACTTCACTGTGGGAAGAAAGACTACATTTTGGCATTCAAGTTCATAGCTTTTTCAAACAGTTAGTTGAGGTAAAAAACATCACATGACTTCAAAACATTATATTCCACATAAAAAATCCTTTCTGACCCATACAGCCATTAGTATCCACAGTGAAATATTTAATTAGATGGTATTTACTGGTATATTAAATTACCTTTCTTTCCTTCTAAACTGCTAGTCTTTTAGGACAAAGCAGATTCTATTTAACGGCCTTAGGACTGCCAGCAGGTCTGACGACACCTGTTTGCTACCAGCAAGGCCAAAGTCAGCCTGGTTTACTTTATCCCCTCCTGAGATTCCTGTCCACCTGGACTCCGGGACTTTCTCAACACTCGTGAAACCACCCAAACTGAACTGTGCGTGCAAGAAGGCAGCTCTTCCCTCCCTGTGCCTCCAACGGCATCATCACGGAGCTGTCACCACTTTGGCTCACCAGAGCAACAACAGGCGAGTGAGTCCAAGCTTGCATCACCAGTTCACCCCAAACTCAGTTACAGGAAATGATATTTCACTTCCCCCCCCCCCGCCCCCAGGCATCACCCCTTTAGTTGATACTCAAGGCATTGCTTATTCCAGCCCTGCTCAGGTGACATGGGTGATCACTGCTTGCTCTTAGAAAACAGGACAAAAATAAGAACCAAACAGGACACGACTACAGGGGGTTGTCATCGTTCTTTTAAAAAACACTTTGTGGTACCATGTGGTAAGGTCAAGGTAAGTACAGGCAGCTAGGATGCTTAGGGATGAAAGCAGGTACAGCTTGGAGGGGAGGCGGGAGGGGAGGTTGGTAAAGCAAAATGATACAATTAGGAGTTTGCCACAGAACTAATAGGTTTAGTCCCTATCAGACGGACTCGCCTTCAAGTGGATTCACTGGGATTAACTACGCATCAATTGTCAAGAGTCAAAAAAAGTTCAGAAAAAAGTAAATACCAAGCATCTGCATGTTTCAGACAGTAACAGATAAGAAACTGTTGAAAGTCAATCCAGCTGTTTTCCCACCTTGAATTCTCCCTACTCCAAAACACCCTACTGATACAAGCCAAACTTTTCTTTTAAAGAAAGTCAGATTTGAGCAGAATATTAGAGTCCACACGTTTTACTCTCCAAGTACAGAAAGCCTGACCCAGCAACGCTTGCTGTTAGCAGAGTCGCTTTTTAAAACTATGAACAGTGAAAGAGGTCACAGACCCAAC